AGAAAGTACATATAATTGTTTAGACACCACCGCATTCAGTAAGCGTGATCATTATTGCTCAAATCTGTCGTGAGAGATGAGGCTATGCTCAGCAGTGGGCACTTATATGATGAGGAGATATAAGAACCTAACAAACTAGTGTGAAATTATTATGTATATATAGTACATACTAATGTACTAATAACTACTAAAACATATTTCGTTCTCAATTGAAAATCTGGTTTTTAGAGGCTAAATAGATAATGTGAAACAGACCCATCCTTACTAATCTTTACTAATATTATAAATTGGAAAGTGAGTTTGTTTGTTTGTTTGTTTGTTCCGCTTTCACGCCGTAACTACTACACCGATTGCTTTGATTTTTTGCAGTCGTAAAGTTAGAAGTCTGAATTAAATAATAGGGTAATTTTTATCCCGAAAGAATCTGATATTCCCGAGGGATAACAAAAGTATTGGTATAGATGGCGCTGTGTGTATTGGTATATGTCACATAGGCTAGTTTTTATCCTTATGTGACGCGAGCGAAGCCGCGGGTAAAAGCTAGTAGTTAAATAAATACGTACTTAATTTGGATATGACAGTGTGATTAAGTGAGTCGTTTCGTGCTTAGCTTAAAGCTTTGTCTGAAGCTTATTGAACCGTCTGAGTATATTTTTCGTTTTTATCCAACTAACTTTTACAGTTGTGTATTAATAATCTGCTAATTTAAGGAGTAACTCAAGATAAATTATATAATAACATTCCTTCGAAAACACAACAGTCAAATAGACTTGATCTTTTCCGTCGAGCTTGTCTATAAAACGATGTTCCTTGGATTCGATAATGAAATTATTTTAATGACGTTGTCGTTAATTTACTTCCATATTAAAGTCGAAAACCAACTTTTTTTGTAATTGTTATAAATTGTGAATCTTATTCATGTCATCTGAGAAAATCTGCGTTTCATTTGTAACTGCGTTGACAATCTTAGTAAAAACAATATGGACAGTTTTCTTCCGTCCAAATTCATCAATTGAGTGCTCCATCATAAGTCGCATCTTCGCTAGGCTAGATAGCGGCCAAACGTCGATCCATCAACTAATATATATAAAAAAAATAATGCAATGCAAGAGAAGATTTAAATTTCATTCGCAAGTAGCTGTTTCCTGCGACTTTGTCCGTTTAGAATATGAATTTTAGAACATAAAGTTCATTTTGTTTCAATTTTCCAAAATAAGAGTCCACGTTACTCCTAAGTACATCACCTACCTATAAAGTTCTGCAAAATAGGTCCAGCTATTCTAGAGATTAGCTGATATAAATAGACAGACACAAATTGTAAAAAATGTGATTTTATAATGTGTTTCGTATGCATATTCATAGGCAAGTAGTAAACGGCGGTTATGATAATATTACAAATAGACACTCCATTTTTTTATATGTATAGAGGTAGAAGATGTATAGAGGTAGGTATCGATAAAGTTACTGGTGGATTATACCTCTATAATACACCATAATTCGTAGATATCTTGAGTAACAAATGTGATTTGCTAACTTAAGCGCTGAGTGGTGCTCATCTTCCGTCAATATTTTTCCGATCTGAAATTGAATTTTAATAATAATAATAATAATAAAGTTTTTTTTTTTTACATATAATGAAATATTTAAAAATATTTAAATCAAGTATGAAAATAAATAAAGGAAATAATAATAAAACTTTTTATTCAGATAACAATGATCCAATTGGTTAGTATTACAAAACTTACGACTAGTGTTAGTATAACTTAATCTATACGACCCCTGCCCGATCCATGACTGGAGGTATCAATACCTATATGAGTACTGATACATCGACCCATGTACAGACAGTCTAGCCTACTGGCTATCATCCTCAGAACGGTGTTACTACTACCACGCACTCTGCTTAGCATTGACGCGCAACGCTTACGCATAGTGGCGTAGAAGCAATCGATGCGCGTCTCCATAAACATCCGTGATGCACTACAGTGGCGAGGCAGCCGCAACACCGCTCTAAGGGCATTATTATATTGTACCCGTAGGGCACTGTACGCCCCCGCAGTATAGACGGCCCATAGGCTGCAGGTGTAAAAAGACGTACAATAGGCTCGAAATAGTGTGATTTTAACATCCCTGGTACATCGCGCAAACCTGCGAGCAATCATGTTTGCTCTGACGGACAGCGCCCTACGTTCACGCTCGATATCCATGTCGTCTCTAAGGTCCTCGGTGATTACATGCCCTAGGTACTTGAAGTAGGGTACTCTAGTTAGTTCTTCTCCATTCAAATTTATAGGGGGTACGCTATCAGGGCATCTAGTACCAGCCCTAAAAACGACATACACGCTTTTCTTAGTGTTATAAATTAACCCGTGCTCAATTGCATAACTTTCACATATTTTTAAAAGTTTTCTAATGCCACAAACTGAAGCGCTCAGCAATACCATATCATCTGCATAGCTAAAATTATTAACACAAATACCATCTATGTGACAACCGACACGTTGGCTGCTGAGCTCCTGAATCAAGGCATTTATATACAAATTAAACAGCCGAGGCGAGGTCAAACCTCCCTGCCTCACGCCACATTCTAATTTATATGGATCTGAGAGTGTGCCTGCCCACCTCACACTATTAGTTTGATTACTATACCAATACTTCAAAATGTTTACAAGTTGAGAAGATACACCTACTTCTTGTAATTTTTTCCACAGAATATCATAGGAGACCAGATCAAAAGCTTTGCTTAAATCAAGGAAGCAGGCATACACTGGCGTACCCCTTTGTGTATAGTATTAATTTAAATTTTAATTTAATTTAAAATTCAATTTTGACCTTTTTTACAGGGTTACCAAAAAATCTAACATTTCACACAAGGATTGTACTTTAAAATACACCAATCAACTGACTTAAGTATTGTTGCATATGAAATTGTAGTTATGTTTATTAGTTAGGTTCTATATAAAATCTGCACTTATCGTGATAATACCTTTGATACCACAGTACACAGTAAGTACCAACTTTTAAATCTATAACCCTTAGGTTAATAAATAGGTACCTAATTCCATTCCCATTTAATACACACAATTATATTAAACGAACATGTACTAATCAAATATGTAAACCTTTTGTCTAACTACCATCGTACCAACCAACCCGGAACATTCTATTCAGTATATTCTTTCGTTCTTCGGCCGCAGCGATAATACCCACGAGGCTCATCACCTGGGCACTTAATGCCTACTTAGGGGTATTTTGGCACCTTTTAAGGACTGAAAGCTCTTAGGGGTAGTTTCCCCGGTTTGAAGGGGTTGAAAGCGTTCGAGTGAAGTGGGGGATGGCCAGGATCTACTGTCTTTAGAGTTGTTTTGAGACGATAAACGTAGCTTAGTTGCGAGAGGTGGTAATTGTGTTCTATGGTGGAGTTATCGTTGTGTCATATTAGTTGTTGATTCAAAATTTTATAGTTCTTTTTGATACATATTCTAGGTTTTTATAATAACTGTGTATAATCGTGAGATATACTAAATTAATTTAAAATGACGAGTTACTTATGTAAATATATTGAGAAAGCTACATTTGAACTAGACAGTTAAATCGTAGGTCTTTAAAGCCTACGAACCTTCAATTAATATTACAGTAACGTTTAACTGCTTCAAAGTCAAAATCATTTATTTCAACTAGATCTACAATCGATACTGAAGTCGAAAATATGTTTGTTGTAATTTTTTGCCTATTTGTCTGCTCTGTTTGTATGTCTGGGATGATCTCAAAAAGTACTGCATGGATTTACTTCAAATTTTGTATGATTATTACCGACAGATCGGGTCAACATATACGCTACATATTATCACGCTATCACCTTCGGGGTAAGCGCAGTAAATCACTATTCCACGCGAACGAAATCGCAGGCACAGCTAGAATGTTATACATACATATATACATAACGCCTGTCTTCCCTTGGGGGTAGGCAGAGACTAAGGAACGCCAATTACTACGATTCTTACATACCTCTTTCGCTTCATTAACAGTCATCAATCTTTTCATGCATGCTCGTCGGTTAAGGGTACTTTTAATTTATAATATATATATACTAAACTATATATTTATACTAGAATATTATATTCAACTTAGTTATCATTACATGATACTACGGTGACGGAAACTAATACACTATGCATAACTATGTAGGAAAATATACTTACATAATGTTGATATACTAGAGGTATATACCTCTATACTGATGTGTGATTGTCTAAACGTGTGATCCGCCCCACTGTGCACAGAATGCACTTAGCAACCACTTTCAATACCTTCCGATGCGGATATTGTGACCTTGTGGACCTAATTCGCAAACGATTGGCTAACTTAGTAGGTACTAGAAAATTAGGTCATGAGACTGGATAAGTTGTGATTTATTAGTGATAGTTCGATTTGTATTTTGGTGGTTTTGTCTACAGATTGATGCTAGCCTATCTAGGTAATCGCGGAGAACCTAACGGGTAACCGGGGCTCCGGCTCGACGTGCAGGAGAAGGAACGGGGTGGTTTTTAGTTAGTAAGAGTCTGACACTCCCTTCCGCCTCACCCAGGCGGGAGCAGTCATTCGATGATTTTTCCCCCGTTACAAAAAAAAGCCTTTCTAGGTTATTTTTGTCATTATTGTTACATATTATACATATTTGTAAGTATATTGTCGTTACAACTAAAAATTACGAGTTACTTACTTAAATATGCTGAGGTAAACTCTACTAGTTTCGAGCAACAGAGGGGCTCTTCCTCATGAGTAGCGTGCGTGGTTGCGGCAATGTCGCATAGGCTACTGACTGGCAACAGCCATAGGCGACAGCAGGCGTAGGCTAAAGCAGAATATTTACGTCAAGGACTCGTCATATTTCGTTAACTCAATATGTCTCTTGTTAGTTATTATAAAAATATTGTTGCATCTTGTTGTGTACATTTTAATGAATGAAATTAATATTATACCTTTTGTTATCTTTTCAGATGCTTCATACAAGAGTACTTGGTCTACGCATGCCACATCACAGGGTTCACAAGGTATGACATCTTATTAACTTAATCTCACCATCCGATACAATTTGTGATAACCATTGCTGGAACATCTACAGAAGAGCTTCTTTTAAAGATTTAAAAAGTTCAAAGACTAGACACCATCAGCGAGCGTTGTTATTCAGTTTCTTCCAAATGTATACTCTACTAGTTAACTCAGCTCTTACGACATCGACGGGAAGACGGGTCGTGGCAAATGTATTCGATTCTGCCATCATTCACCACAATATCAACCAAGTACTAACTTTTACATAAGTGAAATTAAACCTACTCATTATAAACACAAGAATTATAATTGCTCGTGTAAAGGCAGATAATTTTTAATATAAAATTTTGAGCATATGTTAAAACCCAAAACTTTACCAATGAACTTTTTATAGGACTTATAGATTTTCCGCAAATCCTGATAAATTGATTTTTTTTCTTCTAACACCCACTCGACCATCTCCTCTCCTCTTCCGACCTCAGATCGCCTGTAATTTTTTTCTATATTTTTTGAGAATATATTCTTATCCCTTTGCAGTAGGTTTCATTTTAATTTAACTCGTCGAATACCGGTTTTGTAGACACAATTATAGAACAATAGGTTGCGGTCACCGGTGACCGCTTGGTGTTTGACAGTTTAACAACGTTTTTAACCGTTAATGACGCTATCTGTCTTGGCGTATTACTGTTTATTATTATTTTCTCTTTAACTTACACAAATACGTATTGGTATAAAGTTATAAACAATACACATAGTTTGTGAACAATAACTTTAATAAGGACCACACATTACAACTGCCGACTTGTGGAACTAATTAGTCGACCACATGTCATTTAACTTTTCCATACATATACAACTTTTAGCCCGTGGCGTTGTTCACAATACCAATTCTTATCTGAATTGTGTATAACGAATAGTCGCCTAACTTTTTTTTAAACTATCTATTCCCCACAACTTTGTCTGCGTGAAAATATTGTTGTGTGTGTGGGTGGGTGAGTCTGAGAATTTTTGTGTTCTTTGTATGCATGTATGTCTCGTTGGTGGCAATATATTATTGTTAGGAATTTATTTCAATTTATCAACACATATATATATCAACTTCAAGTCAATAGGAGGCGCCGATTGCTTTCCATCACGTAATCCGACTGCTCGTTTACCAGTGTATCCAAAAAAATATATATCAATAGGCTCATCCTATATTACCTGAAACTCGTAACGTAACTGTTGAAAAGCAGATGTTACATTATCTTTCAAAATTTGTACTAAGCTCAAGAGTTTTCTGTTATCTGTTATCTCAACCAGCTCAGAACAGTTACAGGTTTACCGCCTGATTAAAATTAATCAGAAAATCATATCAAGGGCGTTGCTGTCAAAGTCAAAGCATTTATTACAATTAATCCTTGATTAGGCACTTTGAAACGTCAAATTGAATTATTAGTGAAGCTAGGTGTGCCTTCCAAAGTGTAGTTTTGTATGAAGAAGAACGACCAAGAAACTTCATCTTTACTCTTTAATCATGATTATTCTTTATATCAAAACACAGATATGCAATGAAAAAATTTTTACGTCTTTACAATTAACGTATCCCCAACAATCCTCAAATATGTAATCCCCAAAGGGCTGATAACGGTCTTGTAATGCCTCTAATGTTCCGGGTGTCCATGGGCGATGCCGATTGCTTACCATCAGGTGATCCATCTGCTCGTTTATCCGCTTTTATCATAATAAAAGATTTAAATTTTGCATTTTCTCTCTGCCTCTGCTGCGCTTTGCATTTTCTCTCTGCCCAATTCGGTGACGAGTACAACTCAAAACGACAGAGTACAGTAGAATAAACTTTATTGTACACTATAATTTAAGTAAGGCGAAAAATCCACAGATAAGTGGTCTTATCACTTTATTGTAATATCTTTGAAACAATAGTGTGGGATAAGTATGGGAGAGACATGCTTCGGCACGAATGGGCCAGCTCGACCGGAGTCTACCACGGCCTCACAGAAAACCGACGTGAAGCAACGCTTGCGTTGTGTTTCGTCGTGTGAGTGAGGTAACCGGAGGCCCAATTACCCTCCCCTTCCCCAATCTCCCCAATCCCTGAATCCCCAACGATCCACAAACTCCTAATCCCCCAAAAAGCCGGTAACGCACTTGTAACGCCTCTGGTGTTCCAGGTGTCCATGGGCGACGCCGATTGCTTACCATCAGGTGATCCGTCTGCTGGTTTACCGGCTTATGCCATAAAAAAATAGTATCATCTTTATTTTGATAAAACCATATCTATGTATCGGTATAAAGCTAAATAAAATGTTTTGTTAGATCTAAGCACATTTTACAAATAACATTTATTACGCGACGGGCAATTGACCACAAAACGTCCAGGTGGCTATTTCCGCCATCCTAGCCAACGAATCTAGCCAATATGACGTATCCGTGTCATTTCACGCGCAAAATCAAAACAAAGGACCCCTAAAATGTTGCATGCGAGCGCTCAGCGAAGCGAAACCGCGCGTGACTGGCACGTGCCTCAACAATACTGACTTAATTCTTTGATTGACACTTACAATATTTCGATAACTGATGCAATATTTTGATGATTATCACTTTAGCGCTCCCGCCGTATTATCGCGTGCACGGTTCGTTCCCGTTGATTGACTTTTCAATGCAAAATTTAATGTATTGTTTACATGTTCAGTGGAAATAGTGCGGCGCCATTTTAATGGAGATCGTTCACTTTATTATTGTGTAATCGATTATAAAACATGTTCATTTATAATAATTGTTATTTTCGTACTTTATCTTTGAAGCTTAAGAATAATATTTTAAGTATGTTACAAATAAGTCATCCATTCATACTATATACAAAAATTAATATATTATAAAGTTATTATTTAGTTACAGTTGAAGATCTTTTTTCTTATTGTGAATATCAATCGTGCCAGTCGTACCTACCTGATGCAACTAAATACAAGAATAACGAAATAGTTGAATAACGTTTCATGTACTATCTACAAAAAAAATTCAAAATACCGTCACACTGCGCACTGCTATAAAATCGAGCCCCCCTCGTACTCGTGTCGCTACGCGCTGTCGTGCTATTAACAAAATATTTGGCCGCACCCTGCTGAATGTTTTCACCATAAAAAGATTTCCTATGTATAAACAAATTTATGACTAACTATGTTCTATAACTACGACCAGTGACTGAGGACACTAAAAACTAAACCTCTGGGGACCTAGCAAGCATTTCCAAGCAGACCAAGTGTGACGTTATAGTCAATTCCTTTTTAAAAGAGAGGATTTTGATCAGACATTGGTGTACTTCGGATGTTAATGATGGTGTATAAATAACTAACTGAATTACGTAAATCACTGCTATTGTCAATTAATTATAGAAATCACATTGTATCGGTGAAATCCACAATTCGATTAAAATAAAATTACCTATCAACAATTCAACATACATAAACTCACGCCTGTCTCCAATGGGACTAGGCCTCTACTGCCTCTGCCTACTATGCAACGCCAATTGCTACGATTCTCAAAAATTAATTACCTACCTGCATAGACAAATATTTAAAAAAAACTGAAATGTGTACCTACCAAGGTAAACATCGAAAAAGAAACATTCATTTATCACATAAAAACAACATTCATTGCAACGTTGAATTCAACAGCTTTTTAATTTTAAAACAGCAATCGCATAATATATTTTAATCAATTTCAACGATAGTAAAAATAAATCGTACCAATACAATACAAATCAGAATCAATGAAATAAAAATATATTAACGAGGGGTAACGGGCTATTTGGTTTAAGCGACATTTTTGCAACTTTACAGGAGAGCCTTTTAAAGTTTGAAATTTCGAAAAAAAATTCATAACAAAAACGCTTCTGCAGATATTTGAACGGGGTAAATTGCATTGAAATTTAAATAAAAATATCTAGTTGCTGATGCTAATTCCAAATAAAGCGGACCTTTAATTACAAAGATAAATGTCGCTTAATACAATCTGCCCCTTTTTTAGAGTCAGGAAAAATGATTTAAGTGACTTCACCACTACAATTGGCTACAAGGGAAAAAAATTAAGCGACGATGCACTCTATTTACAGAGTAAGCCAAAAAGTATGAAGTAACGAAACCCAAAATAAATAGAAGCAAGCTATTTATCTCAACTACCAATTTAGACTAAAATGAGTAACAGGCTAATTTACTTAAGTGACATATAACATTGAAATTGTATCGTTAAATGTTTATGTTTATTTACATCTAAGACGATTAATGGCTGATAAAACAACCTGGATATATCGAAACAACCGAAAATCTCAGGTGCTTACATCGGATAAATAAACACAACACAATATCAAAGTATTTATTTAGATTAATAATAACAGTCTGCATAGGAACAACGATTATATTATTATTTATTCAGCAAAATCAGATAAATTAATGGGTTATTTACTGAAATTGCCGTTTTGTATGAAAAAATTTAAACGATTTTTTTCATGTATTTTTTATTTGTATTTATCGAAGTAATCACCCATGTAATCAATGCATCGTTGCCAACGCAGTGGCAGTTTATTGGGCATCAATAAACTGCCACAAAATACTTCTTAAACAAATCAGCTGGACGGGTGGCAACAAATTCTTTAAATGCATTTTGTACTGCCTCTCGGGTAATGAATTTTTTTCCCGCGAAGAAGTTATTCAAATTCTGGAAAAGAAGTAGTCTGGTGAGTAGGGTGGATATTGGAGAGCTTTCAACCCCAGTTCTTGTAACTTGGAGACCATCTGTTGTGCAGCTTTAGGTCGCGCGTTGTAATGCAGGAGCAATGGAGATGAGCAATTGACCAGTGCTGGTTGGAGATGTGTCAGCTTCTCCATCATTGTGTTCAGTTCTTCACATTACACATCCACAGTAATGGTCACTCCGTTTGGTAAGAACCTGTGATGAATCAGACTGGCGCTAGACCATCAGTGACCATCACTTTTCTAGGAGTAAG